CATGGTCAAATAAAACCAAAGATTTAAGCCAAGACATACAGTATTAATAAGAAGTAGTTTTGATAGTCTTATTAATAAATGATTGGACATTATTGCAAAACAGGTCATTAAGTGATTGTACACATTAGCTCCCGTAGTTGCACATACTGTAATCCTTAAATTGTATTTACTAATTTGGGATACAGAAACTGTAAACTGTACTACAAGTTAATACATTAAAGTTTGTTTCTTAAGAGCTAAAATGGATTTTTAATTTTTTTTGTTTTTTATATAAAAATCTTTTCCTTTTATGCCTTTATTTTACCACCTTTAAGGGTGTATTTCTAGTTACGTCTGTTAATTTTAGCCAATCCCAATGAACATCTCATTGAAACTATAGATTTCACAGCTCCTTGTTCAGCCTATCATTCCTAGCTTTGTCTCTTATTTTAAAGATCTTAGACTTTTTATCATAAGTACTGGCACTTTCATTATTAAGTTTTCAAATTCATTTTTTATAAAATAAGGGCAAAGTATGAAATATTCAAATTGAACAAATGCTAATATTCAATGATGGAACGCTGTTGAAACTGAGAAAACTTTCATATTTGGATTGATGCAAAGAAATCCAGATCTTACACATGAAGCCCAACTTAGAATCTGAATCACTTTTTAACGTCTTAAAAGTTAAAATAACTTTATTCAACAGAATAAAATATTTAATTTTCTGTTTCTTGCTTTTGTTTTTGTTTTTGAAGGGTGGTGCGCCTAAGGAGAAGCAGCAGCATGTGAGAATGAGTCAGGGATTCATCAACCAGCATACGGTGGAACGCAAGGGGAAGAAAGTTTGCAAATACTTTCTTGAAAGGAAATGCATTAAGGTATAAAAATGTGTAAGCAAAAAATATGCTTTAGCAAAAATACACTAAAACAAACTACTGTTTCCATTTGACAGTCTTTTACATAATACCTATAGGTTATTAAAACTTTCCTCCTAAAAAGTTCTATCAGAAAATTTTAATGCAATACTCTTTTATGTTTAGAAAGTACATAATTTTTAAAAAATGCTTTGTGTCAAAAATATTTAGTACTTAAAATTTTAATCACATAACTACGTGATGAGGTTATAACACAACTCATTAGGAAGTAGACCATATTGCTTCTAAGACTTATTCTTTCTGGAATCATTTGCTTACTTAAAGTTCAGTAGGTCATTTAATGACTTACCTGTAAGTGATAATGCCTTGTTTCTGTTCTTTCTGTTGACCAGGGAGAGCAGTGTAAGTTTGATCATGATGCAGAGATGGAGAAGAAAAAGGAAATGTGTAAGTTTTATGTACAAGGATATTGTACCAGAGGCGAAAACTGCTTGTATTTGCATAATATCCTTTATCATAAGATATAGCAACTTAACTTTTCCTAGGTATTCATACGAACATTTTAAAGATGCAAAAATTTTAATGAAATGAGATTCTAGCAATAACAAAATTATACTAACCTCAACTTAGTGTCAAAGTCATCAAATTGTGCATAGATTTTTTTTTTCCGCAAGAAAGAAAACAGCAATCCTTTAGAAAAATCTCTTAAATAAAGATCCTTTCTGCCCAACCTCGGTGGTATAATGGGTTCATGAGACCTAGTGAAGTCCCAGAAGAACATTATCAGAATTTCTGCTGTGACACTGACTAATTGAATCTATATTCATATAAGCTACTTCATAGAAATGGCAGGAATTGTATAATTTGGGAGTACAGTACTTGCTTTCTGTTTATTATAAGCTGTATAGATATTGTCCTTTAGTTTGAAAGTAACCTTACTTCTTCAGTGCAGATGGTACAGACATGTTGTAAAGATGTGGAATGTGAATATTTTAGGGTCATAGCGCCTTTGGTTGACTTAAAAATTGTTTCTCCAGGCCAAAGATTTAGTTCAGTGGCAATGAGCCTGCCTTGCAAGCTCAAGGTCCTGAGTTCGATCCCCAGTACCAAAAAAAAAAAAAGTTGTTTTTCTTCAGTCATTCAATACTAGGAGTTCTAGGTTGAAGACTCCCTGAAAAACAGTATTACAGTTGTATAAATTAATTCAATTTGAGACAGCCCTATTCTATAAAGGACCTAGATTTATAAGATTATCATTGTCACTGATTTTTTTTTTTTGGTACCAGGGATCAAACTCGGGACCTTGCACTTGTGAGGCAGGTGGCAGAACCCCTGAGCTAAATCCCCAGGCCCTCGTTGTCACTGATTTTGATTTCCCCCAATCCAAAAGAATGCTCCAAAGTAATCATATTTCTCATGGTACTTAAATATTGCTGTCTTATATCAATGAAACATACCTGTATTCTATTATAAGAACAGATACGAAGAAAAAAGTCTTTTGCAATAGTCACTAAATCTGATTCATATCTTTCTAAAATTAGTTGTTTTTTTTCAAACCTAATCTCATGGTGCAGACCTGTAATACTAGCATTTGGGAGGCTGAGGCAGAAGAATTGAAAGTTCAAGTCACACCTGGTCAATTTAGTGTGACTTTTTTCAAAAAAAGGCTGGATATATAGCCAATGTGAAGGCTTGTGTTCAATCCCCACTACCATAAAATTTCTAAAAATTTTTTGAAATTAGATTTTTCATGTAACTCAATTAATAATAATTTATTGTCTCATACTTTAACTAGAGAATTCAAACCTGGCATGGTGATACATGCCTGAAATCCCAGTATTCAGGAGGCTGAGGCAGGAGGATTGCCAGCCTGGACTACCTAGTGAGTTCAAGGCTAGCCTGAACTACATAGCGAGACCTTGTCTCAAAATAACCAAAAATAAAAAATAGAGAATTCATTGTTTCTACTAGAGGAAAGATACTTGTATAGCAAAAATATAATTATGATATTAAATTAATAATAAAATTTAGTTGGATTAAAATTGTACTCTTCCTTAACATTTGTGCTACATGAATATCCTTGCAAGTTTTATCACACAGGAACAAAGTGTTATCAGGGAGAGCATTGCAGGTTTTCACATGCTCCATTGACTGCTGAAACACAAGAACTGTTGGCTAAAGTAAGTACAATTGTCATAATCTTTTGAAGTTTTTCTTTTTAAAGATTATGTTTAAAGGAAGGGTGAAAATTTGAAAAGATAAGTACTCTTTAGGGCAAGTTCTCGTAGGTTAGAATGTGGATATATTAGGACTGATACCCTAAGAATTTACTTAATAATTTAATATTTAACTACTTAATAATTTAATTACTTAATAAGTAATGTGGAAAATCATTTTTCATTTACTTTTTGTGTAGCTGAAAGGATTTTTTAAAATTGATTTATAACAAATTGAAATGTTCTTAAAACCATCAATGTAGTTAGAAACTTCAATAGCTTAGCTAAACAAAGGGAAACAAAGCAAAGCAGGGAAGTTGTTCTGCTATAAAGACTCTTAGAAGGGAAGTTAGAGTCACAGGCCCATAACATTGTTAGAGTTACATGAAAGACTAGATAAACAGTGCTTTCAAAGTGTTTTCTCCCAAGTATTCTTTTGGTCTATAAGGAAAGATTATTGAAAAATTATGCTCATTTATATTTTTCATTTCTCATATATTAATTGGAGGTATTCTCTTCAAAATTAAACTAAAATATATATGAAGGTAAAAGATTTCTTAAGAACAAGTCTCCTCCGGAGGCTGAGGCAGGAGAATCACTGAGAGCTCTGGACCAGCTTGAGCTACATAATAAGTTTGAGGACAGCCTAACTACAAAGTGAGACCTTGTCTCAAAACAAAAACAAAAAAACTGATCATCTCTCTCATCTGTGGCAGAAGTTCTCTTTACCATATATAAATATTAAAAAGTCAAGGATGTCTTATTTCGAGATATTTTTATGTTGTAAAACATGGAAAGGTTACTGTGGAACTAGATAATGAACCAAATATTTATTTATGGAAAAATGGTAGCTGTAAAAATTTTAATTTCCTCTTATAGATGATTCGGATGAATGTTACTAAAATCTTTTGAAAAATATAAGAATATGACAGTGTAATTAGATCAGTGCCTTAAAATGATCGTGTGATTTTTTTTTTTTTTTTTTGATAATTAGGTTTTGAATACTGAAAAGAAGACATGTAAATAAAATAGTCTAAAAAAGGTAAAAGAGTATACCACATTTCTTACTCTCTAAAACCTCTACACATTTGCATGGTTATCTCAATGAGGTTTATTTTCTCAAATAGAAATATTTTTTCCTTCCTCTCCCACTAAGAAAATTATAAAACTATTTAATACATTTACATAGATATGTGGATCTCCATTGGCCTGCTTCTCCATCTGACTTTGTCTTTCATTTGTATTTTTATTCTCCTCTTGTATTTCTTTGTACATTTATTAAATGTGTATAATTCACTAAGTGATATATTTAGTTTTGCTTATGGTTAAAATGATTATGGTTTGCTTATGGTACTCTGAAATTAGTGACTTGATATTTTTACTCAACATTATGCTTCTAAAATCCTTTTCTGTAGGTGTATCTGTCATTCATTTTTAATGCTGTATAGCATTTAATTCTATGAATATTATAATTTAGTTATACTCTTGATGGACATTTAGATTATTTTTAATTTTTTAATACAGACTTATAAATATTCATATGTATTTTCCCGGAATAAATTGAAGATATATGCCAAGTGATAAAATTATATAAGTTTAAGATGCCTTTTTAAAAGTATTTTAGGGGCTGGGGATTTAGCTCAGTGGTACTGCGCCTGCCTCGCAAGTGTGAAGTCCTGAGTTTGATCCCCAGTACCAAAAAATATATATATATTTATAGTTGTTTCTATGCCTATAAACTTGTAGAATTCTTTTTGTTCCATGTTTGCCAATACTTTTTTTTTTATCAGTTTAGTATTTGTAAAAATGGTTTCTTACAGTTTTCTTTGCATAAAATACAGCACCTTTTCTTGGGCTTATTGGCTTTCCAGTTTCATCCTAGGGAAATGACTGTTAACATGGTTTGCTATGTTTCTGCTGATACAGTTGCCCTTCATACATTGACTTTGTATCTTTTTTAAATCTTTTGGATTGAACTCAGGACCTCGCAGTTGTGAGGCAGGCACGGTGCCACTGAGCTAAATCCCTGGCCCGTTTGTATCTTTTTTTAGATAATCCCTTTCGAAGAGTGTGTAACAGATCTTCTCCCATTTCATAGGCCATCTTCACTTTTTTGGAGGCTTCTTAATGAGCAGAATTACTAATTTTGGTGATCGTTTTGTTTATGATTGGCTTTATTTCTACTGTAAGAAATCCTTATTATAAAGTGGAAAAGTAATTTAGCATTTTTTATTAAGTTTATTGGTATATTTTAGGTGTACAATATGATGACATTCATCATTGGGAATTTGTGCCTTTATATGATATATCTTGTTTCTTATTTTTTCTCCATTCCCCTGCCTTCCCTTCAACCCCTCC